GCTGGCTATATGTGCCTGCTCGTTTCCTCAGCCACACTTCCAAGTGCTCTGCCACCTGTGGCTAGTGGCTACCACTGCGCCCGGGCAGATGGGGACGTCCCCATGTGGTGGGCGGGGCTGGTTTGGGCTGTATCCAGGAGACTGAGGGGCTCTGCTAAGGCTTCTGAAAAGAAGAGGGCTGGACAGGGCTGAGGGGCTAAGGGGCTGGGCAGAGCGAGCTCCAGGTTAATGCTGGACACTTGCCCCAGATGGACTTCCCATGTGGCCACACTGCCCTCTTGTGGCCAGCTGAGGTCATGTCCATGCCCAGCAGGCTTCAAGGGCACTGATGTTGCATGGTTGTGGGAATCTCCAGCCCAGCCAGCTCCCTGCATGCAGGTTGGTGCAACTCCAGTGTCCACAGACCTGGGCGGCAGTGTAGCAAAGGGCTGGGAGTGTGGGCCTGGGGTCGAGGAGAGGGGGATGGGTGCTGTCGGAAGGGAGGGGGCTCACCGCTCACGGTGTCCTCTGCTCACAGGTACATGGCCATCGTCCACCCCTTCCAGCCACGGCTCTCAGGCCCCGGCACCAAAGCGGTTATTGCTGGTATCTGGTTGGTGGCCCTGGCTCTCGCCTTCCCGCAGTGCTTCTACTCCACCATCACCATGGACCACGGTGCCACCAAGTGCGTAGTGGCCTGGCCTGAAGACAACGGGGGCAAGATGCTCCTCCTGTAAGGCTTTCTGCAGGGAGGCAGGGCACGGGGAGGCACAGGGTGTGTGCATCGTCAGTGTCCATGTGTGCGAGAGCGTGCATGAGTCTGAGTGCATAGCGGATCGTGTAATACATGTGTGTACTAGAGGGAACACCAAGCACCAGGCTACATGCACAGTATCAGCCCATTTCAATCTCCTCACACTGCGGAGGATGCGTTATTATTCCTGCCATTTTTCAGAGGAGGAAACTGAGTCACTGGAAAACTACCATTGCCCATGACTGCACAGCCACTAAGTGAGAAGGCAAGGATTCAAATCCAGGCAGTCCTGCTTCGGCGTCCATCTCAGACCGCTGTGCTTCCTAAACAGGGACACGTAGGAATGCACGGGTGTACTCGACTTCACATGGCACACGGGCTGCACCCACTGACGTCATGTGGGGACATGTAGCCGTGTAGCTGCGTTCGCAGATGTGTGTGACATGGAACGGGTGTATAGGTGTGTGTTTGGGGGGACACAAAGGATCAGGATACTGAGGCGGAAATGGTCAGTGATGAAGCCGGAGGCATCACTGGGAAGATGCCTAGGGCCGGCCTCAAGCCAAGGTGGGCGCCACAAGCTGGAGACAGGGAGGGAGGGAGAGAAGCACCAGACGTGGCCCAGATGCTGTGTGACCCGGTAAGTCCTTTCCCCATGCTGGGCCTGAGCTGCAGAGGGTCTCCTGTTGTGGCTTCAACTCCCCCCAAAGCGTTGCACTGTTGGTTAGTGAGGAACTGATAGAGGCTCTGAAGGTGGGAGCCTCGTGGGCCCCGTGTGCTGTCCCCTTCTCACGGGAGGACCTTACACTCACTAGCCCTAGCGTCCCATAGGCCCCTCTCTAAAGTGGGGCTGCTAAAAGGTTGTGAGCATAGTGAGATAATGTATACGAAGCCCTTAGCACCGGACCTGGCACCCAGTCTGTGGGCATTTAAATGAGAGACAGAAACAAACCTAGGGGTGGCAGATTTAGGCCGGTAAAGTCCTGGCCGCTCCAAGCATGCCCTGAGTTGAGGGTTGCAGGGCACCAAGGCAACGCAGCCCCCACCCCACTCCTTGAACACCTCTCCCCAGCACCCGCCCTTACCTGGTCTCTGCTCAGAGCACCCATCAGGAGGGCTTCTGTGGGTTCTGAGCTAGGAAAGGTGCCATTCCTCTGATAAGCCTGCTCCGGGGGACTGCCCCATCAATGGCCCAACCCTACACCCCACCTCTCGAGATCCGGGAAGGGGAAGAGCTTCCTTCTCTGGCTAGGGAGGAGTGGCGAGCAGGGCATGGTGGACTGCCCGGGGTGCAGGGTTTCCCACCTCAGTACGGCCTTCCTCCCTGAGAGACCATGCGCGCCCGCTCCAGGAGGGAACCTTCGGACCCCGATCCAGGCCACTGGGAAACACGCGAGGGCAGGGGTGGGCTAGCCTGTTCAGTGTGACGAACACGTAGAATTCTGAAAGGATTTGGGGAAACCTGGGTTTATGTGTGAGGGTGTTATTGCTCTTTCCTGATGGGAGAGCAGCTAATTTAGAAATTTCTGTTGGGGCCTCTGTCCTCCAAGGCTCACATCCTGTGTGTGGGAATCTGGTGAAATTAGACACCCTCTCTGAGAAAATGCACATATCGCCCCAAGTCGAAATTAAAAAGCCCAGCCTGCATGGGAGGCGTCCCGACTTGGGAGTCTAGAAGACGGCCCCCAGGCCCTGGCTTTGCCCCGTGCAGACTGGCCCAGGGTGAGCTCCCGCTGCCCAGCCTCCCTGAGAATGAGGCTGCAAGCAGCTTCACTCGCAGTAAGCAAAGACTTTAACGGACGACCTCCTCGTTTCACAGAGGGGGAAGCTGAGGCGGGAGAGGCTCAACTTGCAGGGACCATGCTTTAAATTACGGACGGACGGAACAAGAGCCCTGGTCTGCTTGGCACAGCACTGGCCTCAGGGGAAAGGACAGTGCGTCTCAATGAAGTCTCTGACTTTCATATGACAGACTTCCTTCGCCCCTCTGGGCCTCCGTTTCCCCGACTGGATATTGAGACAGGTGGCCCCAGTAACCCTTAAGGCCCTTCGCTCTGTCAAGTGACAGGTGGCACTCCCTGTGTCTCCTCCCCCTGCCTGCTCACCACCAGGATACTCAGCCCAGACCCTACACGGGGATCAGTGCACCTAGGAGCCCCCACACCTTTTGCGACTGGCATGTGTGCCCAGACACGCGAGCCCAATTCTAACCGCAAGGCTCTAAGAGACAGGTTTACTGAAGCCACCCGCTTGCCGCCCTCGGGACGGTAGTGCCTCTTGAAAGAGGCCCCGCAAGGCTGGCTTGCCAAGGGGGCTGGGGAACACCTCAGCCCTCCTAGTGAAAATGAAAAGGGTCCTGGCCCAGCCAAGGGTCTCAGGCCCATCATGGGATGCTCCAGGTGCTCCCTCTGCCCAGCCCCCGGGGAGGTCCGTGCCCGGCCTGGCCTGCCTGAGAGGGCCGTAGTGACATTCAGCCAGGGCTGGGGTGGGGCGGAGGGGTATCTCCTTCACTGTCTTTCCAGGAGGAAATGAAAAGCCTCAGCACCACCCAGCATCCTCCACCGGGACCGGGCAAGGAGCCATGCAGGGGTGTTGTGAGCCACTTGCTCAAAGGTGGTGTGAGAGCGTTTGCTGACGTACACGTTCCCACGTTCCCATTTTCCCATGTTCCCATACACATACGTGGTCAGCCCTGTGGGAACTGCCGATGCGCAGGAAGCAGGAGACAACGCAGTGAATGACGTGGCACTTTCCCACTGCCCCGTCCTCGATAAGGACCTTGGGGACAGGATGGAACCAACACCAGTACCTCCGTCTGTCCATCCAGACAGACGGAGGTAATGTATAGAGTGTATTTAATAAACGTGTACACACCCCTACACGTACATGCACACATACATACCTGCACTAAGGTTCTGGAAGAAGTAGGCTGAATTTGGAATAGTGGCGGGAGTGTGGTAAGTGATTTTACTTCCTTCTTTGTGCTTAATGGTATTTTACATTTTAACGAATGTATTACTGGTTAACTTTTTCACTCCCACTTCCCTTTTTGGAACGTGTCTGTCATACGGAAGGACTCAGGGCTAATTCTGGCGTCCCTTTTGTGCAGGGAAGGCCCTATTTTTGGCACATCTGCTCACCAGTGTTGCCTTTGGTTTTCTCATACTGTAGCAGGGCTTCCCGGCACAGGGCAGGCCCGCAGGGGGCGGCTCAGGGTCCGGAGGGGCCAGAGACCAAGGGCTGCAGACTTCGGAGTCGCCCCGGGACCTACGGCTGCCCAGGCTCCTGGCTCTCCCTGCAGGTACCACCTCACGGTGATCGCACTCATCTACTTCCTGCCTCTCGTGGTGATGTTCGTCGCCTACAGCGTCATCGGGCTCACGCTCTGGAGGCGCACCGTCCCGGGACACCAAGCGCACGGGGCCAATCGGCGTTACCTGCACGCTAAGAAGAAGGTGGGCGGGGGCGGGCTGGATCGCGTCTCAGTGTCCGCCCACAAGGGGGCGCCTAGGAGGGCAGGTCCCCGTGCCTTGCCCTCGTGCCAAGCCTGGGTCTGGAGCCTGAGCTCCCTAACAGGAAGATTTGCTTTGGTGTTTGCCAAATACAAAGGTAAAGGGTCTTCTCAGAATATTAGGGGAGTCAGGAGATCCTACAGCCCCATGAGTTGCACATGCCTCCAACAATCTCAAATGAGGAATCAAAATCTCTGGCCTTTGAGTTTAAGAGCCCACAGAGCTGCAGGAGGAGCCTAGGCACAATCACAGAAGAGTCCTCACGCCGAGCAGCAGAGCTCAGCCGTCATGGGGACAGGTTGCAGTCCAGCGCCATCTGGCTGTCTCCAAGTTCTCCCCCAAGTTCCAGAGTGCCCCCTGCCGTCCAGTGCCCCCCCCCAAGAGTTCCAGTGTGGCCCTTTGCCCTCGGGCCTTCTCCACCCTTACCCAGCCAAAGCTTGCCTTTACCGTGCCCCCTTCCTGCTAGGCAATCAGGAAAGTAATGGGTTAATCATACCATGTAGTCAGGCCCAAATCATGGCTTTTCACTCCATAGGAGGCGTTTCCCCCATAGCAATTCAGGGACATAGCTGGTCACCATCGGATGTCCCTCCACAGGGATGGATGGTTTGCCGTCTCTGGCTTATCCTCCACCCCCTGGGCATCTGGGCCAGGCTAGATGGGGAGAGGGTGGCAGCTGACCCGGGAGCAGAGGCCAGGGGTCTCTGACTGGAGCCTCACTGCCTGCCCGTAAGTAGAGGGCTTGGAAGACACAGAGTCCAGGGAGAGGGTGGCCCGGGAACCCATCGCTGTCTGGGGGCTCCCCTGAGGATGGGTTGGGAGTGTGTGCTCACCCAGTCTCTAAGGACAGAGAGGTGCTCTGCGTGAAGGGATTCGGGCCACCTCTTGGAGGAGGTGGCCACTGAGCTGGGCTTCGAGGACTGAAAGCTTCAAAGGAAGGATGGCAGAGTGGGCAGAGGGGCCAGCCTGAACAAAGTCCCCAAGATGGGGCAGAGGCAGATGGGGTGTGATTGCCGAGGGCTTCCTGGTGTGGCAGGAGGGCACCCCCTCAGAGGGCTGAGGAGTGACCTGAGCTTCTCCCGGCCCAGTTTGTGAAGACCATGGTGCTGGTGGTGGTGACGTTTGCCATCTGCTGGCTGCCCTACCACCTCTACTTCATCCTGGGCAACTTCCAGAAGGACATCTACTGCCACAAGTTCATCCAGCAGGTCTACCTGGCACTCTTCTGGCTGGCCATGAGCTCCACCATGTACAACCCCATCATCTACTGCTGCCTCAACCACAGGTGAGCTCCCACACCCCCAGAGCCCCCTCTGGGCCCCGTGCACAGCTCAGACCTCCACCCTTTCTCCGGCCTGAACCCACGTCCCTCTGTCCCCACCCCCACACGGGAATGCTGACCTGTCCGGCCCACAGCACACGCATCCCTCTGGCTTGGGTCTAGCACTTCCCAAAGCCTTGCCCCATCTCCCAGACAGCTCTCACCAGCTGTCTGCTCCTGCTCTCTCTTCTGGGGCCTGTGTCTGGGACAAGGAGAGAGAAAAGAGGGACAGTGAGATGGAGGGAAGGGGACAGTCAGAAGGAGGCAGGACAGAGAACGAGGAAGGGAGGAGGCAGTAAAGGAGGAGGGCTTCCTGCTGCCCATGTATTTTCTGCCTCCTGAGGGCTCTCCTGGGCCCCAGCCCCGCGGTGGGAAGCACTGCACAAGAGGCTGGCCCAGGGCTGGGCGGTGGGGGCCACCCCCTGGAAGACCACCATGTATGTCCTGTCCTCCAGGGCTCTCAGGGCAGCTGGGGAGCGGCCTTGGCTGAAACGGCAGGATCTCACTCTTCCTCGGGGGCACTGTGGTTCTCTCCCTGTATTTCCAGGGAGCGAGCCTGAGAGGGGCTGGCTGTCACTCTGGGGCACCTGGAGAGGTGGGAGGTGGTCAGGACCCCTGGGTCCTGCTTGCACAGATGTCCTTTCAGCCTCAAAAGACCCTGAAGTGGGCTGTGTTAGGGGAGGTGAGAGGTGGACACTGAGTCTTGGCCTCAGCCAGACAGTGTGGCCCTGGGCCTTTGCACCTTTATCGTCTCTCCACCCGGGTGGCCAGGCCACTCACAATGCCATTAGGCCTTTTGCTGCTCAGGCATCCCGCCCACCTGGGCAGGCCAGAAGGAAGTGAGGAACTACGGGGTTTTCGTTTGTTTGCTTGTTTTTGGAGTATTTATGGGTACCAGAACCAGAGGTTAAGCAGGTAATAGGAGAAAAGTAGGTGTTCTCCCTGTTACACAGACAAGGAAACGCGAATCTCATAAAGCTCCTCCTATAGTCTCACAGCAGAGAACAGAGCCACGACTCTATGCATGGTAGAGCCTCCCTTATTTGCAGTTACCCAGTCAACCATGGTGGAAAACTAGAGTACGGTGCAGTAAGACAATAGCGAGAGAAGGCTTGCATGTAACATTTATGACGGCGCATTGCTCTAGCTTCTTTTTCTCTGTGTCATTCCTCTTTGACTGTGCCTGACTTACAAAGTAACTTTGTCGTAGGTACATACGCACAGAACGCAGAGTAAACGTAGGGTTCAGTCCTGCTGGCAGTTTCGGGTCCTGGAGCCCACAGATAAGGGGGACTACTGCATTCTCAAGGACCTTCACCTTTTTTTTTTTTTTTTTTTATAGGTTGTTGTCTTAGGGCCACTGGACCTGTTGCCTTAGGGCACATGCACTCACCAGAGAGAGAGAGAGAGAAACAGAGACAGTGAGAGGAAAAGTGAGAACTCACTCCCCACGGGGAATGGCCATGCTGCAACCCCTTTTCCTCCATTCTCCTCCTGGGATCTTGGGCATGAATACACAGTCATACCCAGCATGATTTTCAAGTTACTGGGTCCAGGACTCAAACCATGGTCAGCTATGTGGAAATCCAGCAACGTAGCCACTATGCCGTCTGCTGGTTCCGGCCCTTCATCTTATCCTCAATCACACCTTTCTCTCGTGAGAAATCACACGTGCTGTTTGTTTGTAATAATAATCAGATTCAGCATAACACTGCAAATCGTTCAACTTAGTTCCAAAGTACTTCTGGCTGTTTCTAAAATCAAAGTCGCAAAAGCATGCCTCTTTTATTTTTTCATTATTTTTAGTTTTATTTATTTATTTTTTGGAGAGGTTTTTCTTACAGGGCTCATGCGCTCGCCCGAAAGACAGAGAGTGACAGAGAGACAGAAAGTGAGAAATCACCCTCCAGGGGAGATGGCCATGTCTCAATCCCTCCTTCTCCATTCTCCTCTTGGGATCTTGGGCACGCACACACATGTGCCCGGTGTGAGTTTAAGCCACTGGGTCGAGGACTCAAGCTGCAGTCAACTACATGGGAGTCGAGCAACATAGCCATTACACCAACTGCTGGTCCCAAGCATGCCTCTTTTGAGACCTTGAGCAATGATAGGCTCTTCCCAGTGAGGTGGGGGCACTCCCCTGGAAGGGAGAGAGTCTCCTGGGGGTGGAGCAGCTCTAGGGCAGCTCCCAGCCCGCCCCCCTTGCTCAGGTGAACCTCCACCCCCAGGTTTCGCTCTGGATTCCGGCTTGCTTTCCGTTGCTGCCCCTGGGTCACACCAACTGAGGAAGATAAGCTGGAGCTGACTCACACCCCGTCACTCTCCGTGAGGGTCAACAGGTGTCACACTAAAGAGACTTTGTTCATGGCTGGGGATGTGGCCCCCTCAGAAACCACCAATGGGCAGGCTGAGGGCCCCCAAGAGGGGATGCCTCCTAACGTCTTGCCCTGGTTGCATGGCGAGGCTTAGCGCTCTTCAGGAGGTACTCAGCCAAGTCCAGATTGGAAAGTCTGGCCTATTCCCCACCCTTCAATACACCCATTGAAAACAAGACTGGGTCAGAACTCTACAAAGGATGCTGACTTGAAGAGGACTCAGCCACGCATCTGAGAGCACTTCAGGGGACCCGGGAAGGGTCAGAGAAGACAGAGTGAGCTAATAATGATCTGATCTAAGTGCTCAAAGCCCAAACGCCTTCCCAGGGCATACTCCATAGTGCATTCGATGCAGGATGGGAGGAAGCTGCAAACATGATGATAAAAGGCAACGGATTCCCTAGCCTCAGAAAGGAGGGACTGGTGGGGACTGTGGCACCCAAAGGTGACAGTGGCTGCTCAGCTCTGGACAAATGTTGCCTCACAGTAATAAGAGCCCATTATTGCCTGATCTTCTAAACCTTTCATGGGAAACTAGAAAACCACATTTGTGTGTGAGACCTCCGGACTTGTTAAATCTGGCTTACATTTTTTTAAGTCTTTCTTTTTGTTTTAAAAATTCTTTTTTCTTTTGGAGAGGTTTTTGGTATAGGGCCCATGCGCTCGTCAGAAAGACAGAGACAGAGAGACAGAAAGCGAGAAATCACCCCCCCGCCCAAGCCCAGGGAGGATAGCCACACTCCAATCCCTTCTCCTCCATTCTCCTCTTGGGATCTTGGGCATGCACGCACATGCGCCCAGCATGAGTTTAAGCCACCTGGTCCGGGACATGAACCGCAGCCGACTACGTGGGAGTCCAGAAAAATAGCCATTACGCTAACTACTAGTCCCTTTGTGTAAGTTTTTCCTATAAGGCATATGCACTTGCCAGAGAGAGACAGAGAGAAAGTGAGACATCACCCCCAGGTCGGCCATACTGCAATCTCTTCTCCATTGTCTTTTTTGGGATCTGGGGCTGCATATGCACACACACGCAGTGTGTTTTTCAAGCTTTTGGGTCTGGTACTCGAACTGGTAAGTTGGCCAGGTGGGACCCAGCCGCCTTAACCACCACACCACCAGCTGGACAATGGCTCACATTTTAATAAGCGTTGGGTGAGCTAAACAAAATACATCTACGGGGAGTTTGCAGCTACAACGCTGGTTCACTATAGGTTACAGGAACAAGAGAAGAAGCTCGTTTTGCAAAGCCCAGCAGCTGCGGGTGAACCCAGGGCTCCTCTGCCTCATCATCTGAGAACTCAGACACAGCTTGGTGTACTGTAATGGTCTTTGAGTCTAAAGTTAGCTGTTTCCTCGAGCACGTCACTCGGACCCTCAGCCTCTCCCCTCCAAGGGCTAACCTACCTTGCAGGGACATGGTGAGGATCAGTGAGTCAGCGGGCCAGGCAGGCAGAGTGCCCGACAGACAGGAACATGGTTACTACCACCACGCCAGTCACTTTCCACAAGGCCACCCACCAACCAGCAGCACAGCTCCTGCCCACTTCTGCAGCGAGAAGCTGCTAGGCCACCACCACCAACTGTCCTAGTTCCAGAAAGCTCCAGGCTTGGCCATCCACCCCAAGAGGGCACCTCTCCGCACTCGCTGCCTCGTCCTCCACACCCCAACGCCCCCCTAAAAGGACCACATGACACTCCAAGTGCACATCAAAATGTTTAATGTCATCTGTGTTCTGCACCAAGATCAACCGCTGTACCACACACACCAGCACCACCGGTGTCCCAAATAAAGAGGCTCTGGGCTTACCAAACCGCGTCGGCATGCATCTCGGGGAAGCTCCTGGGAGCTGCAGTCATGACTTGGGACGTCCTGGGGCACCGGATGCAGACCGATGTGGAATCCGCCAAAGGGCAGGGGCGAGTCCAAAGTGGCAGTCACAGGTGGGAACTGCAACCTCCAGGGTTGGGGGTGGGAGGAGAAGGGCCAGATCTGGGTTCATCACCCAGAGAGTCAGTTCGTGATTGGGGAGGAGAGAATGCAACCTGCCACCTTGGGCTGTTTCAAGATTCCATCCATGTTAAGGCAGGAACGTATTTCATCCATTGTCCTGGGGTTGGCAGAGAGGGCAGGGTCTGCTTGGAGCTGGCAGAGGGAGGACCAGCACTACACTGGCCTCCTGGCAAGCCCACACAGTCCCTGAAAGCCAAGATGACTTTTTCTTGGCCCCAACTGCAAGTGAGAAGGACAAGCTGTTGAGGGCAGGTGCTTACATTCCTTTTCTTTATAAAAAGTTTTTGCAAGAGGGTGCATGTACTCACTGGAGAGAGACAAGAGATGGAGGAAAATTCACCCCCCTGGGCTGGGGGATAGCCATGCCTCAATCTCTTCTGCATTCTCTCAGGATCTGGGGCATGCACACACACGTGCCCAGCATGATTTTCAAACTGTCAGGTCTGGGATGCAAACCGCAGTCGGTTATGTGGTATCCAGTTGCCTTAACCTCCACACCAGCTGCTGGCCTCGGGGCCTTACATTCTTTACCTTCTTAAAGGTGCTGGGGTGGCGACTGAGGAGCCCCTCTGTGGGGTTAGGACTGTGGAACTGGAGTAGGTGCTGGCAGGGTAGTTGCTGGAAGATAGGGGGAGAGACCACTGCTGTGTATTTTGCAGGGAGATTATGGAAGTTCCCATGTCAAACCAAGGCTGGGGCTGAAGATCACCATCTTTAAACTCCCTCTCCCACTTAGCAGGTTACAAGAAGTCCCTGGCATTTGGCTTCTTCAGCATCCCGACCTCCCCCTCCCCTCCCCAGACAGCAAGCATCACTCGGGTCTTTGAATCGGTACAAAGTTTACTAGGTCATACAACATGGCTCACAAAAGCGATGGGCAGTCCCCGTGACGGCATGGTTGGTCGGTTGGTTCCTTTTACCCAAATGGACACAAGACATTTCCCCGCAGGACTGCCCACCTCCCCCCCACCAGACAGACAGAACGCAAGACTGTCACAACGTGGCTAGGACTGATTCTACAGACACACGACTGAGTGGCACTGACACGTCCCGACGGGACGCCAGGCCGCAGTGGGTGCTGGGACGGGAGGAAGCAGCTAATGCTATGTCCACGCTTGCCCTCAGGCAGGGCCCTGGGAGGTGGAGTCCCGGCAGTGTCTGCTGGTGATAATACATTTCACACAGGGGAGGGGACCCTAAGGACGGGCTGGAGGCCCACAAGGCAGATGGGGTGACTTTTCTTTTTGAGCCAATAAATAACCCCACAGGATGGACGAATGCATACAGTAGAAATGGGTGCCGTTACACTTCACACGTGGAGGACCAGGTCGGAGTCACATCATGCAGAGTGGCAGGGCAGCTGGGGATCCGGGTGAGAGGTATTATCAACAGCACACACTCCACTTTTACCCTACGTTATACGCCATTAGTCGGATTTGGTGTTCCTCCCGCCGTGGCGGTGGCAGGCTCTGGCGCCGATGTCTCCCAGCCGGTTGGCTGGGAGGGGTGGGGGTCGCCGTCTGAAGAGAGAAGTGCTGGAAGGGCAGTAGGCGGGGGTCCTGGGTCTTAGCTGCTCGCTTCTGCTCGGAGCCGAACGCCCACGGCTGTGATGAGGGCGGCCCCCTTGCCACTACCGTCTTCGGACAGGAGGAAGGACACATTACACTTTGGTGACAGTTCCTTCACGGTTTGGTGCATGATTCTGGAGAAACTAAGAAAGACCAAAAACAGGCAAAGGTATGTAGAAAGGGAAAGGGACACTCGGCCCACCTGAAAACACTGAACAGCCAATGAGCAGGAGGGAGGGAGTGTGCTGCAGAGCGCTGGGGCCAGGGATGGGCCGCCCCACACCCGACTGCACAGCTGAGAACCCCAACCGCCCACTCTGCAGCAGTGAGGCAGGGCTTGAATGGCATTCTCAGACTCCATTCTACCTCGGCCCTCCAAACTTGAAGTTCCCAGATGACCTGAATACCAATAGGCTGCCAGGGCCCAGGCCTCGACCACTGAGGTAGACACTGGGTAGGTTCAGAAGGCTATGTGGAAATGAACAGTACTCACTCCAGCTGCAGCCCCTGGGGCTCCCAGTCTACAACCATCCACAGCCCAAAGCCAAGAGTGGGCAGCCCCCAGTGAAGGACAATCTCTAACTGAGAGGCGACTCCATGGGTTCAACCAACCAGGAACGTTCCATGTTGCTGATGTGTACTGTAAAGGGCCCAGAAAGCTCATGGATGAAATGTATTATTAAAAAACTATGTGAGGATTTCAAAATCTTTTGCACCAAAATACACTTGGACTTTAATTCCATTTCTCCATAAACTTTTTTTTTTTTTTTTTTTAGGTTTTTGCCACATGGCATTTGTGCTTACAGAGAGAAACACAGAGAGGGAAAGTGAAAAATGATCCCCCCCTGGAGGGGGCAGGATGGCCATGCCATAGTCTCTTCTCCTCCATTCTTCTCTAGGAATTTTGGACACGCAAGCACCCGTACATAGCCAACATGATTTCAAACCACTGGGTCCTGAACTCGAACCATGGTCAGCTATGTGGGAGTCTAGCATCTTAACCACCATGCCACTCGCTGGTCCCCTCCATAAACTTTTTGAAGTCTCTTGTATGTCGTTAGGCTTAGGACAATTGAGTGTGTACTGAACAGAGACCCCTCCTTGTCATCATTCCCTACATAATTCAGCTAACAGCGATGTGAGAGCGTGTGCACTGTACTAGGAATTGTAAGTGGTCCGGAGATGACGTGAGTCCACGGGAGGATGCCCACAGCCCATAGGCAAACAGTAGGCCAGATTCTATAAGAGATTGGAAAACCACAGATCATGTAATCCACAGGGGTCCTGGAACCCA